CCGTAGGAATGAGGGTAAGGCGGTGGTATAAGAAAGCGACTTGGTACGGAATCGCTCTTCCGTAGAATGGTGTAAAGGTAAGGCGGTAGTATAGGCAAGCGACTTGGTACGGAATCGCTCTTCCGTAGAAAAGTGTAAAAGTATCGAAGTGTAAGAAAGCGACTTGGTACGGAATCGCTCTTCCGTAGAAAGGTGTAAAGGTATCGAAGTGTAAAAAAGCGACTTGGTACGGAATCGCTCTTCCGTGGAAAGGTGTAAAGATATCGAAGTGTAAGAAAGCGACTTGGTACGGAATCGCTTTTCCGTTGTAAAGGAAAGGTATCGTAATAAAGGTAAGTGATTTTCACTGCGGTTGCAGGTTTCTTATAGCGCAAACTCACCACTTCTACACTTTTCGAGTAAGTAAAAGTAAAGTCCCAACTCTTCGATCGATCCTAGCTTCTCTATGATTGAGTAACGCTTTAGCGATTAAACAATCACTGATCAGTGTTGGATCGCCGGTAGCGATCTCTCGTAATAATTCGTAAAAGTCGTGACGTCGTCAAAGTACTTGCAATTGCAAAACACTCGGTAGTAAAATACTTAATTGTTGCTTATTGTTTTGATTTATTTCATCTGCTCTAAGAAAGCTGACTCCTTCTATACAATAAGAAGGAGTCACGTGTACTAGCTAAATACTAGGTTTACAAGCAGGTTGGGGGCCCCTTGACCTGTGACAGGCTAAGCGAGGCATGCTTAGTGGCCCGTGAACCTTGGTTCACGAGTGAGCTCCCCCCAATTACTATTTACTAGCTAAGGTCGATATAAATGAACCGACAGAATAATTATTTAAAGTAAAATTAAAAGTAATAAAATAAAAGTATTAAAGTTAAAAGTGAACTCGTACATTTTATTTTTAAAACATCTTAGCGCGGCCGCTAATGAATTCACGAAGTGATAAGGCAGCTGCAGCTAAGATAAAGCGGCCGCAGCTAAGATAAGGCGGCCGCTTTGCGCAATTTTTACTTTATAAAATAAAGTTTGATTCTTTTTTACTATTACTTAGTAATCAATTACAACTATCGCTTTTTTATTTGCTACGCTTTTGAATACAACGCTATTCATTGCTTTATAAAGTCGTTTTTTTCTTGTTTAAAATTATCAATTTATTAATCGTAAATTAAATTATCGCGATCAAGTCTTTTTATTAATACTTTTAAATAGCCTTTTTATTAAACGAACTTTTGCTTTCGGACCGACCTTCTTTTACCGATATATTTATGACGACTCGTCCCTTTTGGCCATGCTGGCCTATGCCTCAGGCCTCGCCAAGGCTCCAAGCGAGCCCCTTGGCCACACATGTATATAGCTTGCTTTCAGACCTGTTTTGGTTCTGTACCTTGATATTCTAAGCACATCACCAACAGTTTATCTAAGCTCTTCGTATCGTCATATTATATCAAGGTCAAATTTTTTTTTTCCGACCTCGAATCGACCTTTTTCTCCGTTCGGCGCGATTCGCTATAGCCTTTCAATTCGAGTCGTTGTACCGCTCTACGCTACAGCCAATTCTTATTGCACCGCTATTACCGCACTCATCGCCTCTATCGAGCGACCTTTATTCGAGCTCTCCTTCCCTTTCTTTCAATCAGACAATTTCCTTGCTACGGCGAAAAGGCTTATTCCGAGCAGTATATTATAAGACTCGACGCACGGCAACCCTCTCCTTAGATTTTTCCTGCTGAACACCAAGTAATTGTTCAATCGATAATACGATACGGATCTTTTTACCGAGCCTTTCTATTCAAAAGCTTGCACTTGACTGCATTATACCTTCTTCTCTTCTTTCGATAGAACTTTATATTATCGCTATAGCATATTAGCTCTAAGACTTGGCCGATAGCAAACATTAATATACAAGGAACCTCGACTTTTATACTCGGCAGCTCGTTCGCTCAATCTCTACGCGATATAAGGCTCTTGCCAAACCCTTTTCTTCTTTTTCGACACCTTTATCGGACAAGACTTTATCGATATATAATACTCGTCTCGCTAAGCTTTCCGAGCTGATTTTTCGACATCTTTCAGCCCCTCTTCCTCCGGACATTCAAAAAGATATCTTTGCGATCGTGCAAGATATCAAAAAGATTATAATGAATACGGAAAGCTGCGTGCTAAACGAAGCTTTAAGGATACAAACAATTGCTGATATGATAGAATGGACGGTAGACCGCCTTAATAGAGAATGATTTTGATAGCTTAAACGGAATATATACTTATACTCGAAGACGAGTGATCGCTGCGTTGCAACTCCGCTCTTTTTTACGAGAGGAGGATAGTGTAACGACTCGTCCCTTTTAGCCATGCTGGCCTATGCCTCAGGCCTCGCCAAGGCTCCAAGCGAGCCCCTTGGCCACACATGTATATAGCTTGCTTTCAGACCTGTTCTGGTTCTGTACCTTGATATTCTAAGCACATCACCAACAGTTTGTCTGAGCTCTTCGTGTCGTCACAATATTAAGTACTACGGCTAAAGGAGATGACGCAAGCTAAGATAAGTTAATTGATAAAGCAATTAAGAATCAAGCGATTAAAGGTCAAGCGGCTAAAGGTCAAGCGGCTAAGAGTCAAGCGGCTAAAGGTTAAGCAGATAAAGACGAAGCATAAGAAAGTGAAGCAGATATAATACGCGGCGAAAGCGTAAAAAAAGAAAACTTAAATTTGCAAAGTGAATAAAGTAAGTTTATATTTAATTAATCGGAGTATTATTAATACTTTTTCAATTACTTTGCTTAGCGCAAATCTTTATTTTTAATCTAGCAAAGCTTAATTGGCTACGGATACGCTAAACCTTACTTTTGCTAAGCGCCGCGCTATTACAACTCGATAGCTATCCGGTTAATATTTAATTAATAAATTAATTAATAAATCAATTGCAAATAATTGATAAGCATTTATAGAAATTCTTAACTTTACTTTTGCTAAACGCCGCGTTATTATAACTCGATAGCTATCCGATTAATATTTGATTAATAAATTGATTAATAAATCAATTGCAAATAGCTAACAAGCATTTATAAAAATTCTTAAAACCTCGCGCGGTATTGCAAGTTTATAATAAAGAACCGATTTATCTTCGTCCTTTTCTCGCCGAATTTCTTAAGGTCAAGCTAATAAGTATTAATTACTTTATTAATTAATAATTGCTAATTTCTATTATTTTAAATAACGCTCTTTAAACATTAATAAACTCTCGCGTAAATACAGACTAGCATTTATTATCTCTTAGATCTCGATCTAATAATGTTTTTAACTTATGATTAATAAATATTTATTAATTAAATTTTTCTTTAGCAAACGCAATTAAATTTACTTCGGCTATTTAATTCGAAATGAACAAAAGCATCGTTCTTAATAATACTAGCATAAGTATTAATAGCTTTTAATAAGTTTAATCTTTTTAAACTTTTTTTTTATTCGTTAATTGTTTTAAAATTGCTTTAAAAGCAATATAATAATCGACGAGCTAAGCGAGTGCATCAGCTTAGCTTTAAAACGAAGATCCGTCTTACGACTTAAGTGTTAGAAACAATTCTTTTACAGCTATTAAACCTTCTTTTGCTTCTATTAGCAATCGTATTAAAAAAGCTTTCGCGCAAAAAGCTTTTAAAAGGTCTTTTATTATCTCGGGCTTAATTATAGCTATAAAAACCGCGACGAAGACGATGCTTTATAATAATACAAATAAAGAAGAGCAAAGCGATGATAAAGAAAACTCAATTGAAAATGATATTCTTTTCTCTTAATATAAAAAAGCTAAAAAATCACTTTCGACGGCTAGAGCTGCTCGTTCCGTTTTATTAGTTAGCAAATCACTTTTAGCAATTGAAACTTTTTTTCGTTAAAAATCTAAAAAAGGCAAGTATCTTAAGAAGTCTGTAATTATTACGAAAAAAAAAAGTTTAAGCTAACGAAAGCGCCGTCGCTATAAGCTAAGAAGTAAGTTCAATCAATTAATAAATTGATTCTTAAGTATAATTATTGATTTATATAGCTATTGCGTTAAAAGAGATCCGACGATATTAAAAAGGCACCGAACTTCTTATTAAAAAGACTCTTTTTTAGCGTTTTGTTCGAAAGATCACTTACGATTTTAAATAAGACTTTAAATTTTAAAGCGATGCTTTAAAATGTTTACAAAAAGCTTTAAAAGCATTCTTTGTAAAAGAGTTTAAAAGTAAGTACTTATATATTTATTTACTAATCGATTTACTAATCGATTTACTAATCGATTTATTAATCACTTTTAATAACGAACTTATGTGCTATTTACGCTAAACGAATAACGATTTAAAACAAAGATATAGCGTTGATTAAGAAATTGCGAGAAATCATGATTAGAAGTTTTGTTTAGTAATTTTAGTTTATTATAATGTAATGTAATGTGATTGTAAAGTATAACATATATGATTAATAAATATAATAAATAAATAAAATGATTAAGTAAAATTAATAAATATTCGTAAATTTGTTTTATTTTTAACGGCTTTACATATATTATTTTTAGCTATCTTACTTTAAACTTATAAGGTTTCTCTATCCTTCGTAAGGAATTTGACTTAAAAAAATCCTTTTTATAAGGTTTAAAAAAAAAGTCCTTTATCGGCCAAGACCTTATAGAAGGAATGGGGAGGAAAACCCTATGGGGCCCCCACCCTATGGAGCAGCCTAGTATCGATAGCTTGCTAAGTAGTTAATGTAATAGATTTTTCGTATGCTTTTCTTGATCAGCCTTTAAGTAAAGTCCGCTTTATATATATAACATGCTTGTATATAATAGATCGAAAGCATATAAGTATAATAACGTAAAGCTCTTTAATATAAAAAAAGAAATAAAAAGAGTATAAGAAAAAAGAAAACAAGAAAAACTAAACTCAAATAAAGAAAAAATCAAAAATCAAATCCAAACTCGTCTTTTCTTTACGTATAATTATACTTTTATGACTTAATCACTTTTTATTACTTCTTTATCATTACTTATAAAGACTTTTGCGTATTAGCTTCGTTACTTTTCCGTAAAGCTAAGTAATCGAATAACAAATTTATTTAAGCGCTTGATTTAAAAGCCGGACTCGGCTACTTCATCTAGTAAAAGCTATTTTAAAAATCTCTTTGTTTAAAGCTTAAAGCGAAGTGGTAACGCTTCGAAAGTGTATCGCACGTAAAACTTCTTTAATCGATTGCTAGCAAATGTCTTATCTAGCAAAGCCTTGTTTTCTCTTAGCTCTTTCAACTTATAATATCCTTTTATATTTACCGACGAAATTTAATAAAGGCTAAGCTATCGAAAATCTAGCTTCTTAACGTTAAACATATCTACTTTACGTACCGAGTCGTGCTTAAAAACCAAGTCACTTACTTTTAAAAGTCTGATTCGAAAGTTCTTTTTATTATTAAAAGCATCTTTTCTTTTTTAACGGCAATAGGTTTTCTTAAATGTAGCTTCCGTAACATCTTCGTCTCGCATCCGGAACTAGCGTGCTCTTAACTCGATAAGCTTAGCACGATTAGTTATTAGCTTTTAAAATAACGTAGCTTAAGATTAGATTTAAGTTTTAATCGAAAGCATTGCTTTTTTACCGTATATTATATAAAAAAAAGTGAATCCGATAAGAGTATACACCGAAGTGCGGTCGGCGAATAAAACGGCTAGCAATTGCGCAATCTAGTCGATGCTTTTAAGCTTACTTAATA